CATTTTTTTTTCTCTTTTCCCCCTTGGTTTTCCTTCTCAAGTCATATTTTAGAGGGCCACATGGGTGAAGGGGCCAGATTTGGCAGCCAACCACCCAAACACATTTTCAAAACATGTTTGATTTGGGAAATTCTGGATCTTTTTAAGCAAAGATGTTAACAATCCTCCTGAGGACCGTAAAATATGATGATTTAAACATAAGGAAAAGGGGACCCTAAAATGATCAGAGAAATCACCCAGAGGCCTCCCTGCTGAAGTGTTCAGTTTTTCATTTTATTTCCTATTTCTTTTCTTTTTTTTTTTTTTTAAGACCACAGGAGGATGTTGAATTTATCACCTAAGGGAGGTGCTATCATTTTGGCTCAAAATTTATGAAATGATATGAAAATTTATACTTCTCCAGGTAGCAAAAACAAAAACAAGAACACTAGAATTTCTTACACTCATATTTCCTAGATCTATTCACCAATCTGTCAAATGCATTATATTCCAGATAGAGTATAATGAATGTATGAACAAATATAATGCATGCCTGGGTGTGAGTACTGCCAAATCTTGGTTATTCATGGTCCTAAGAGTTGGGTAGGAAAAAGTTGCTATGCATACATTAAATCCAGAGAGAATTAGAAGGTCTTTTTCATCAATACTTTTAGATTCATCCATTTTCACAACTTTAACCACAGATATGAACAAAATAGTATCAGCTGATTTTACTGTTACTGACTTTTCCTTCCTAGCCCACTATCTTGCAGAGTTAGGGGAAAATCTTAGCTGACTGTTGGCTACATACAAGAAAGGACAAACATTAACTTCATTTATTCTTTGCATTTGTTATTCATTCATTTGGCTACTCTCTTAACACAATTTATTAGGGACTTTATGCACGATATGCAAAGCATAGTGCTTGACATCATGGGGAACATAAGGATATACACCACATTCCTGGAACTTAAATTTCATGATGGGAAAGAACATGCACATAGGGAACTTGAGCATACGGTCGAAAGTGGTAAGCCTAGTAGAGAGAGAGAACACTGCTTTGGGAAATCAGAGGAAGTAGACAGTTCCGTCAGGGAGATTCAGAGAAAACTTGTGGAGAGCATGACATTTTTGTGGAGTCTTGGGAGAATGGCAGTGTTTTGACATGAAGAGAAGGTGGCAATAGCATTTCCTGAGTAGATCTCAATGTGAGTACGGGAATGGTTAGAAGAGGTCAAGACATGCGTAAGGAACAGGTAGAAGCATCAGTGTCGGAAGAGGAAATCTGGAAGACAAAACTGGAAGCCAAAGGTGAACCAGCTGTAGAGTCTTTATTGCCAGAGTAAGGAACTTAGGCTTTAATAAGAAAGTAATAGGGAGTGATCGAAGCCCCCTTTTTCACTTTTTATTTTGAAATAAATGTTATGCTAAAGGAAGAGTTGCAAAGATTGTAAAGAGTTCCCATAAAGTAGTCCATATCATCTAAGTTTTCGTGTTTTGATAAATAATGATTTATATAGTATTCTTATATTACACTCCTGTGATTATATCCTCTCTTTCATGCTTAGTGTGGCATGTCTTTTTTCCTTAATCAGAAATGCCAAAAATCTTTCTTATTTGTCTTTTCAAAGCAACAGTTTTTGATTTTGTTAACCAAGTTTGCCAGTTTTCGTCCCATTTCATTAGCTCCCCTAACGTTTCCCTAAAGCTATGTATATGTTCAATCTAATTTTAAAAATAGATACTGTACATATACAGTATTGAAAAAAATCCCTTGATCTACCATTTAAGCAGAATGCTATCTCTAAGTCCCACATAACCACGGAGCTGTGCTTTTCTTGCTTATGATTCTGCTTGGAATGTGGTGCACATTTCAATTTGACAATGCTTTTCTTTAAGTCAGAGAAAGTTGCCTCTGTTATTTATTTCCTCCCCTCTATTTCCTTTGTCCCTTTCTAGAGCTGTTATTAAATTGATGTTTACCTCCAGAAGTGATCTGCATGTCTCCTGTACTGTCTTCTTCCATCTCTGTCTTTTTGCTCTAAGTTCTAGGAGACCTTACTTAGTTATTCCTTACTAATTTGGCTGTCTATGTCCTCTCCTCTATTTGCTCCTCTTTAATTCCTTATCCTTATTGTTCTAATTTGGCAATCATATTTAATTTTCTTGCTCCCTGCTTGCTCCCTTTTAATAGCTGTTTTAGAGATAAATATCCTCTCAAAATTTTCTGAGGATATTAACTGTAATACTCTTTTATATTCTGTGCTGCTTGAATCATTTTGTTCTTTGGTTTGCTTGCCTTTGGTCTTTTCTCTTACGCATTTGTTGTTCCTCAAATGTTTGGTGACCTTAAGTTCATTGACATACATGGACAAACAAGTACATTAATTCAGGTGGTTGATAAAACCTTTCTCTATGCATGAGAATGTCTGTTTCCCTAGTGAGTCTCCCCTGAATGAGAGGATTGCTGGGGTGCTTCATGGTGAGTGGGGTGTGTTGACTGGCAGACTTCACCTTAGGATGCTCAATAATGGACCTGCAGGCACACATGGGTTGGAGAGCGTCTTCCTCAATAGCTGCCTTTCTTTCCTCTTTGCTGCCTCTCATCCTTGTCTGTGGTGTCTAGGATTACATCAGGCTCTGTTCTGAGGCTTCTATACCCACATTCCAATCATCCTCATCAGTCAATTCACTTTCATCCACCAAAGGTAAAAACCCACTGCTGACTACTGTTCAGAGTTGGGAAGTCAACACTTCACTGGCTGGATAGGTTGGAAGTTTTGAAAGCAGTTCCTTGATTTGCCTTACAGTTACCCCAGGAATGCCTCCTGCTCTATGCATTTGTTAATGTGATCCTGGAGTTTCTCTAGTTCTTCTTTACTTTCACAGTACCTTTCTCCTATGTATGTTTAGACTGTGGCATCTTTGCCCCTAATACTCTGATCTCCCAGAAGTGGCTCAAAGTTCATCTCTTCCAATGGCACCCTTTCTTCTTGCCTAGCACTATTGTGAATTGACTTATTTTAAAACATGTCTTTGATCTTTGAGGGGATTTCAGACTAGAAAAGAGTTTGAAGAATGTGCTAAGTCCACTCCATCTTGATTCAGTCTTGGAACATTTTTTTATATATATTTTATATTCAAAGAGCAGTTCATCTTGTTGATTCTGGCCTATCTTTGCAGGCTATTTGAGAACTGAATATTCAGTGGCTCAGCCTTAGTTGTCCTTCCCAGCTTTAATTATGGCTTGGATATCTGGAAGCCACTGATGTCAGTTTGACCAGAACTCCCCACTGGACAATAGGCAAGGTTGTCCTATTTTCACAAGAAGTGCTGACCTCAAGAGCCCTCCAAATCCTTATTGAAGGACACTGTCTCCATTTCTAAGTCCCTGTTTTACTCTAACAACTGTAATCTATGTAATCTAATTTGTATTTCATTTTCCCCATTGGCATTACTTTTTGGAAGGTTAATAAAGATCTCACATTCATCACAGTCAATGGAAACATCTCATTGGCCATCTGTACTGTGGTTGACCCTGTTCATTGCATCCTCAGTCTCAAGATGTCATGTCTCTTAGTTTCTGTAAATTCCTTCTTCTGGTTCTGTGTCTCTTTCCAGGCAATCTTTGGGCTGTGTAAAGAAATTTTTCTCCTTTTATTTCCCCTCCCCGCAAAAATACCTGTTCCTAAGAGCATTTCTTCATCATCTTCTCATACCACACGTTCTCACTTGGCAGTGGTGCTTGTAGCTGTGGCTTCAGCTTAGAAAGGTAGAACTTCATCCCACATCTCTTACTTGAACTTCAGATCCTGCTTTTTTTGCGGGGAGGTGGAAGGGGAGAGGGCAATTGCTCTTCTCTGTTTGGCTTCTAGGCACTTCATACTGATGTCATCCTCACCTTTCACATATCCGCTCCACCTTCTCCTGTGTTCCCCACCCTGTGGCCAAAGCCAGGGCTGACTACTGGCAAAGGTGAAGGTGAAGAGACTTCATTAGGCGTGAAAGTATCATCTAACGAAGTCCCTTCACCTTTACCTCCTGAACTTACTGTGTGTGCAGCTTGTCTCCACAGGCACTCATCACTGTCAGCCTCTCAGCCATTTAAATCATTTAAATCCAAAGCATCTTCATGCTGTGACCCGAGACATCTTTCTTAAGTACATTTGAATGCATCACTCTTCTGCTCAGAAACCTTCAAGGGTTCTGATTTTATGTAGAATAAAACCTGTACTGCTTTGCAAAGTATGAAGATCTCTTAGGATGTGATGTAAGTGCCAACCTGTCTTCTCCCACCGTTCCTTGCCACACACATTCACATTTATGCCTCCCTAATTCTGAAAATGCTGTGGTTCCCTATGCTAAGAATGCCATTTTCCCTTTTCCCATTGGCCAAGACATTATCAACTGAATGCCTCAGTTCACATTTATATTCCCTGTGAATCCCTCTTTGGCTTCCCCTAGGCAGCCTAGGGTTGTAGGTGTGTTTATTAAATTATACCCTTCCTTCACCCGATGAAGGATTTGAAACCATGTAAGACAGATATACTCGGTAAAAGGATACAATAAATGAGTGAGTTATTATGTTTAAAGGGAGCATAAATGTAAAAATATAAATAGTATCAGATGTGAATTAGTCTTCAAAGTTATGTGACATTAAGTTATGTAGACTTACACTACAAAAAAATAACCTGAAAATGTGCCTTTGGGCTTTTTAGTTGAGAAACTAGGAGGGAAACTTGATTGCTTATGAGTTTGATGGTATCCATAAGCAAGAAAAAAACCTTCTTTGCTAGTTAATGAAAGTTGAGGAATGCTTTACTCAATTAAAAGGATATTTATAAAGGAGACTGGCAAATTTAGAAGTTCCTTTCACTTTGTCTTCATTCATAGATTATGATACAACTTTGTTTACTATATCCGAAAAAACTTATAATGCTACCATTTTACAAAAAGATTTACTCTATTTTAACCCAATGAACTTGGCAAAGTTCATTGACAAATTAATGGCTACTTCTTACCTGAAAGTTGCCAAAACAGCTTCCCCCTGGTAGGGTCACGTAACTCACAAAGGGAGGGCCGGGTGCTGGTAGTGACTCATAGACCACCATGCCTTCACTTGGGAATGCAGCCCTCTGCTGCTGCTTGCTTTCCCAAAATTCCTGTAACATTGATACAACATTCACTAGAAAAGACAAGAAACACAATCAGTTATTAAGGATGGACATACTCTGGGGCAAAACCAAAATTTTATTTATTTGCAAGCTGGATTCTGTAGCATGACAGTTCCAGTTTAAGCAGAGCAGGGTATGTGGATAGCAGGAGTGCTTTTGGCTGTGAAAGAATGTGCTTTATCTAAATATATTTAAAGTATGTTAAAATATACAAATTAAACCTATGATTTACAAATGCAAATGTGTTTATTTCTTAATGAGTAAGACTCAAGAAGTGGTTTTGGTACCCTGATTAAAACAATGTAACAGTATTTCAAATTTACTCTATAAATTAATTTTTAACATAAAAATTTTAAAATCTCACTCTGCTTTGAACATTTGTCTTAATAGACTTTATCCAGAGCTGTGATTATCTATGGTCCTCTCTTTTATTTCTCATAGATTCTTAAGCCTGCAAAGATTTAAGAAAGAAAGTCAGAAACTCTTTTATGCTCCTTTTACCACAATCTAAACGAGAATGAAAAGCAATTGTGGAATAAGCAGGAGGCTGGAAAAATCCATGAGTGAAACTAATAACATGAAGACCTTGTTAAGAACAAGGTCTGTTCAAGTATTTCAGAAAACATAGTAATGGCTAGAGCCATATGTTTTAGATTAAATGACCTGTGATAGCCTGCAGAAGTTCCAGATCAAATTAGGTTGGTTTGTTTATCCTGTACTGCAAATTAAATTGTAAAAATTAACAAGGATAATAGAATTGTAGAGTCAAAAGTGACCTTATAGGTCATGTAGGCAAAGCTCTGCCTAATGCAGGAATGCCTTGCCAGCGTTGCTGACAGCTGCCCATCTGGCCTGTACCTGAACATGTGGAAGGACCTGGTACTTGCCACATCCTGAGGCAGCCTGTCTCAGCCGCGGGCGGTTCTGCGAGAAAGTCCTTTTGGAAGTGAACTGAAATCTGCTTTCCTGTAAGGTTCATGCAGAGGGTCTACTTCTCATTTCTGAGGCCTCAAAGTTTATTTCCTTATCCACAGGAGAGCCCACCACATGGCTGAAAACAGTGTAGGACATCTGTGGTTTTGCTTGCCTGGCATTCACTTCTCTTCTTGTGGAAATTGCACCCAAGTTTTCCTCGAAGAATTGTCTCTAGAGGTGCAAGGAAAACCTCGGCTATTGTGGAAAATCTCACCCAGGCTTTCCCTGCAGAATTGTGGTCTCTAGTGGTGAAGGTGGAAATTTGGCCATGGCCAGACCATTTAGAGACAATGAGTATGCTGAAAATGTTGGAAGTTTCCTTTTTTTCAGTAGGATTTCTGGAGCAGTAGGAGGTAAGCATGGCAAAGCCCAAGCAAGAAGAAAACCTGGCTGAGAAGAAGGTCAGCCCAGAGAAGGGTTGAGTAAAGAGATGGAGAAAGGCTAAGTTCTGATGACATAGTTTGAGCTCCTGGTTCCAGCTATGCCCATAATCCAGGATCCTTGATTGGGCTTGAAGTTATCTAAACCAACCCATCTCCTTTTTCCTTAAGCCATTTTAAATGGCATCTCTCACTTGCATATGAAAAGTGCACTAAACAGCTAGCACTCTTGTTTTTTCAAGTTCTAGATTAAATAGTTTTTGTTCTTTCAAACATGCTTTGTGTAACATGGCGTCTATGCCTTTTGCCATTATCCTTAATATAATCTTGGATCTGTTTTAAATTTCTGGACATTGACATTTTTCAGAGAGTCTGGAGTGTCACAGAGTTTGATCTGGAGGCAAAATCATTGTATAGCCACTTTCTAAGCTGTTTACCAGAGCACTGGGTTTCTGCACCTCCTCCGTAGGTCACTGATCAGCTTCATGGTGTATTGTTCAGGCAAACTCTGGCAACTCCTAAGGAACTGGTTGCCTGGGTGTATTTAGAAACTGCATTGTGTCGTATTTTAAGAAGTGATTTGGGAAAGAAATTGAGAAAATATTAGAGTAGTAGGGGATACTTGAATGAATCAATAAAATACATATTGAATGGTCAAGTTGAGAACTGGTCATGACAGAGCTTTTAAATTTATTTGTAAATATTTGAAATAACATTTTCTACCAGTTAATGTAACTCAAAATAGAATTAGAACTCTTATTTTCTAAACTAGTTTTCTGTCCTTCACTCTCCTGCTTTTCCTCCCAACCCTGAGGAAACAAATATCTATGAGCGAGCTGACCTGAGGCTCTACTTGCATTTGACCTCCAGAATTCAGCAGGGATGTCCTGGAGATTGAAGACTGAAACTAATGACAGCAGCCTGTTGCTCTTCTTGTCAACAAGGACTGTTAGCCTCCTACTTTGTCAGTTAGTTGTTGAAGGGTGTTTAGCTGAGAACTGGAGTAGGAAGGTGAGGACCCTTGATGATCTAGGTAAAATGCATGATAATCTAGGGAAAATGAACACAAGAACTTTGGCATATAAAACTCTTGGGATTAAAGAGTTTGAAGGTATGCACTAAGATAGATTTCTGGGTGAATTAAAGTTGAAGCTTTCAAATTTTTCATTCTGTAATTTTGGAAGATTTCTCTGATGATCCCACAGATGTCGTCACCCCTAAAGAGTGCGACACATATACACACACAGACACACCATCCATTTTTCTATCTCTATCCATTCTTGTCGACTTGAAAACCAGACAAATGAAGTGCAGAGGGAAGATGGCCAGCTTGCCATTTGGAATTCCAAAGATATACCAAAGACTGATATATCAGAAAATGCTCTATTTATGAAACACACGCTCCTTTATCTTTGGGAAATAGCATCAACAAGGTTTGTGGACAATTTCGAAGAAAAAATGAGCAGAGGGTCAAGAGCTGCTGAAGAAAGTCACCCCAGTTTGAGAATAGGTGTCAATCAATACATAGTTAACCTCTAGATGCAGCTGCACCTTCAGTACCCAGAGAGTGATCTTGCCTTCCATGTTACGGAATAAACTTGAGCTACCAAGTGTGCAATATCCATCCTTATGTCTAGGGACTCATCTGCACAAATGCCCAGCTCTGCCTTATTTCCTACTGTCTCAAATGAATTTGTGCTGCTTTTCCTGGAAATTGTTCTCTTAGTCACTCCCATGGCCTATTTTTAAAAGTTTCGTGCTTATTCACTCTTTCCCGGCAGCCAAAAGTGTGCTCAAAACAACAAATAGATGAATAAATGAATGAATCAATCAATTAAATGAAACACTCAACCTTGGAATTATTTCTGGCTTCTAGTTATTAAAGTGCTTCCAATATAGCCAAACTGCTAGAAAGAATATTCCACATTGACCATCTCTGCTTCCTTATGTTTCATTTATTTTTAACCCACCACAATTAACATAGGCTTTCCTCTACATTATTCCACTGAAACTCCTACACATAGTACCAATTCCTGGTTTTTAGTCCTTATTTACTTGACTTCTTAGCTGTATTTGACAAAGCTGATCACTTTCTTCTAGAAACTTCATCTTCCTGAGCTTTTCCTCCACAGTCTGTGTCTGTTCCTGATCATTTCTCCTTGGTCTCTGTTGAGGATTTCTCTTCCTCTGCTCACTCCTCATCTTGGCTGCATGGAGTGCATCTTGGCTGCATGGCTGCATCTTGCTTCTCTTCCAGCTGTTCTCCTTGAATGACAGAACCTATCTCCATGACTCCATCTACCATAATACACACAGACAGCTCCCAAGCTATTATCCTGCATCTCCAATTTTTTTATAAGACACTGCCATTTGGAGGTTGCAAAATCTCAACATATTTTCAAACTCAGCTCAATTTCTTTTTCATAAACTCTTTTCTTCCTCCTGAATTACCTTTCTTTCTCCTGAGTTACAAAAAAAAAAGTGATGTTATCTATCTAGTTACCTAAATCAAAAACTTGGCGTAAACTTTAAACTTCATTTCCTCTTTCAATATCTAATAAAAGCCCAAGTTTTGTTAGTCTCCCATCAGCATCACTTTCTTTCAGTCTACACTGCCATTACTGAATTGGTTTGTGCTCTCTGTATCTCATTCTCATTAAGCATACCACAATACCCTCCTGACTCCAACCAGCCTCCCATCCAACCTACACTTCCACTGTTTTCAGGGTAATATCACTGAATCTCATATCTGATCAAGTCACTTACATCTTCAAATCCTTCTGTGGGTCCCTTATTAACTATGGAATGAGTAATTCCTTGGCAAGGCATAGAAGACCCTATGTCTCACTATTCTCTCTTGTCCTAACCTCCTCTTCCCAGTTCACCCTTTAATTTCCTTACAACCTATGCTGCTCATGTTACTCAAAAACCAGTACTTCCATTCATCCTCCTGGAATGACCTTCTTTCTACTGCCTGTTGTCTTCTTGAATAGCACCTACTCATTTTTCAAGACTAAGCCCTTGCTAATGAAAGTGCACCCTCTACCCTCAAGAAACATCATCAATAGCACTTGGGAACTTGTTAAAAATGCAGGATCTCGCCGGGCACGGTGGCTCAAGCCTGTAATCCCAGCACTTTGGGAGGCCGAGGCGGGTGGATCACGAGGTCAGGAGATCGAGACCATCCTGGTCAACATGGTGAAACCCTGTCTCTACTAAAGATACAAAAAATTAGCTGGGCATGGTGGCACATGCCTGTAATCCCAGCTACTCAGGAGGCTGAGGCAGGAGAATTGCTTGAACCCAGGAAGCGGAGGTTGCGGTGAGCCGAGATCGCGCCATTGCACTCCAGCCTGGGTAACAAGAGTGAAACTCCGTCTCAAAAAAAAAAAAAATGCAGGATCTCAGGCTCTACCCCTAGGTCTTCTGAACTCTAGTCTACTTCTTAACAAGATTTTCAAAAAGCCTGATGCATGTTAAAACTTGAGAAGCCTTGCTGTAGGAAGAAGTGACCATTCCTATCCTCTTCCTTATGTACCTATTATATGCGTTTTCCCTTTTCATCCTTACAGCATCCCCTTGAAATAGGTATTATCTTGTACAACCTACAAAGGAAAAGAAAAGGAAGTTGAAGGTATAATCGCACAGCTACTAAG